GTATATCTATATCTATATCTATATCATCTATATCTATATCATCTATTGCTATATCTATATCTATATCATCTATATGTATATTTATATCTATATCTATATGTGTATCTATATCTATATGTATATGTATATCTATATCATCTATATCTATATCATCTATATCATCTATTGCTATATCTATATCATCTATATGTATATTTATATCTATATGTATATCTATATCTATATGTATATGTATATCTATATCATCTATATCTATATCTATATCTATCTATCTATCTAATATGGAATATATGGCACAATTGGCTAAGAAAAAAGGACGTTAAGATGTTCGTGGAAACAATCCCAGGAAGTCTGAAGAAGGACAGGAGAGATGACATATCCGCCTGTTAAAAACGGGTATATGCAAAGGAACGTACATAAATAAATAGGGTCATTTAATAATCCTAAGGAAGCATTGAACAAACCAGGGATAGACATATATACTTGTCGCAAACGTCCAGAATTGTCACCGAAGGCGATGCACACTGTGGTGAAAATCCTGCAACATGCAGAGAACTTTTTCCTCTTCTTCAAACTTGTTTCGAAATTTTGAATAAACAAATTGATTTTTTTTTAAAAAAAGGATTATAGGATGCTAATTTTTAATATGAGTTCAAGGGGAGCAAATTGAAGGAGGCACAAGATTTGGAATCAAGAAGAAGAAAACCATGTGGAATCTAACCTAAAAATGCAGATGTGATACGTCGTATTTCCGTGATCATGAAAATAGGATTATAGGAGGGTCATTATTTAATATGAGTTCAAGGGGAGCAAATTGAATGAGGCATGAGATTAAAAGTTGGTGCACTCAAAGGGATAATAAAAGGAGAAATTTTGGGTATGAAGGTGGAATTTATTGAATCCTGAAATAAGAAGAATTGGGGATGAAATGGCCGAAGGGGACAGATAAAAAGCATAAGAATATGGCGAACCTCGAATGAAGAAATAAAGAATCGTAAGATATTATATCAAGGAGATCAGAGTATCCTGAAAGAGAAATAGGATATGGGATTGGAATTGGAATTAAAATTGGATAAAATAAAAGTAAAAAAAATATATGAGAATAGACAGGAGAGCCGCCTTCCAATATTTGAGGGTGGCAGGTTGGACTAGATGACCTACAAGGTCCCTTCCAACTCCTAAGCTGATTTTAAGGAACAAGAGGACCAGGGGAGACAGGAGAGCAACCTTCCGATATTGGAGGGCAGAAGGGGGCTGGACTAGATGACCTACAAGGTCCCTTCCCGCTCTATTCATCGGCCTTGCAGGAACAAAAGGACCAGGGGAGACAGGAGAGCAGCCTTCCAATATTTGAGGGCAGAAGGGGGCTGGACTAGATGACCTACAAGGTCCCTTCCAACTCATAATCTGCCTTGAAGGAACAAAAGAACCAGGGGAGACAGGAGAGCAGCCTTCCAATATTTGAGGGTGGCGGGTTGGACTAGATGACCTACAAGGTCCCTTCCAGCTCGGATGCTCTGTTCCAGCCTTGGAGAACCGAGGAGGGTCCCAAAGGGGCCTTTCCCACCCTCCCCTGCCCAGCGCTCCGACTTACGACGTCCTGGGAGGTTATCGAGCAGCGACCGTGGTGGGTGACTCCCCTCCGGCTCGTGGGAACTGTGGTTGCCCTCCCCTCCCCACGAAGAGGCGTCGCTAAGAGGGGCTGGCCCGGCCCCTCCCCGGATGGGTGGCTGCCGACGGGGGAGGAGTAACCGGGGAGGAGGAGATGGGGGGGAAGGGGGGAGGGGGGGCAGGAGGTGGAGGGAGCAAGAGAGGGATTGGGGGGAGGGGAAGGTCTCTGAGGGAGGGGGGGGTCTTCTGGGATGGGGGGAGGAAGAGAGAGAGAGGGAGAGAGAAAGAGAGAGAGAGTGAAAAGAGACACAGAAAAACAGAGAGAGGGAAAGAAAGACAGAGAGAAACAGAGAGAGAGAGAGAGAGACAGAGAGAAAGAGAGAGAGAGAGAGAGACTGAGAGACAGAGACAGAGAGAGAAAGAGAGAGACAGAGAAACAGAGAGAGAGAAACAGAGAGAGAGAGAGGGAGAAAGAGAAAAACAGAGAGACAGAGATAGAGAGAGAAACAGAAAGAGGGAGACAGAGAAAAACAGAGAAAGAGAGAGAGAGAAAAATAGAGAGAGACACAGAGAGAG